CCGAGGTGGGTAAAATGAGGACCCAGATTGTTGGGGGCAATATGCTGACTCTCTGTAAACCGCTTAGAGAGGCCTGAAAGGCCTATGAAGCGGTATATAAGTCTAACTGCTATTGCTACTGCTATTATTACTAACTTAACACCCACAGTGATTCACTTAAAACCCGTAGCGAGGAAGGAGGGGCAAAACTCACTGAAGAAGTGTTCCGCTGAGCCGATGGAAATCTGGGGCTGAAATTGGCGCCCTAAGTCGAGGACTGCCAGCGTTTCAGAAGATGGCCGTGGTTCTCCCGGGGGGGCCAGAATTAAGTGGGCCTCCCAGGAGTTGTGAGAAAAGGCAGAGAGAGAGAGAGATGCTTGAGTGGGGAAAAACATCAAACAAACCAATTGGCCAGAGACGTCTCCTGCTCCCTCCCTCTCTTGGCAACCGGATCCCACTTTCCACCTCTCTTGGCTGCTTACCTGGGTCATTTTATCCACCGAGACCGGAATCCCGTCGATGGTGAGAGGGGGCAGCTCGGAGTTAACCTCCTGCGGCGCAGGTGCGTGCTCCAGCAGCGCTGACTCCAAGTCTTCCAGGATCATGCTCTTGTACTTGCGCACCTGTGGGGAATCGCAGAGGCTCAGGTAAACAAGGGCCGAGAGCGGCGGGAGGGAAGGAAACTGCTATGTAACGGAAACGTGGAGTGGGGGAGGGGGGGGGACATGCGTTCGAGTCGCTCGTGGCGTTGCGCAGCGGAGCGGACGGGCGAGCAAACAACGCCGCAGCTGCCCCCGGGGAAAAACAGCCCTCGGCCCCCAAAGGAGGGGAGGAGGCGCGCGGGCTTCGGCGAGATGATGAAACGGCGAGCAACGTTAAGCCGCGGTGGCGGGTGTGTGTGTGTGTGTTGGCACAGGGGGTTTGTAAGGGAGGGCAGGGACTTGAGGAAAAAAGGGGGGCTGGGGTGTGGGTGCTTGGTGGGGTTCTCGGGCAGACTCTTGAGACTTCCAAGTCCCTCTTGGGGGGTTGGATTGAGGGGCGGCGTTTTGGGGAATGGGGTACCGGCAGAAGGGGGTGTGTGGAGCTCAGGGTTGACCTGAGGCAGGGATGGCCAACCTTTTCGGCACCGGGTGCCCAAACCGGGCATGCGTGCCAGCCAACTGGTCTTCGCGGGTGCCAGAAAACGGCCTGAAAAATGCCCCCAAACAGAGCATTTTTGGGGCTGTTTTCAGGCTGTTTTGGGGGCTGAAAATGGCTAAAAAACACCCTGAAAATGCCCCCCAAATGCCCTGAAAACACCGCAAAAAACACCCTCAAAACAGGCTGTTTTTCTGGACAAAAATGGTCTGAAAAATAGCCTGAAAACAATTTGGAAAATTTTGGGGCCCTTTTTCCGGTGCTCCAGCGCCCACAAAGACCAGCTGGGCGGAAACCAGAAGAGCAGCTGGCGACATTGTTTGTGCCCACAGAGAGGGAGGGCTCTGGATGCCACCTCTTGGCACGCGTGGCATAGGTTCCCCATCGTGGACATGAGGGGTCCCAGGTGCTCTCTGAGATTGGAGCTTTCCTCGCAGACGTTTCATGGCCCAGCTAGGGAACAGCATCCGTGCTGGAAGGGAGTGAGTGGGGTTTATGTAGTAGAGGAGGAGGATGAGGAAGAGGAGGAGGGGTGCTTTGGTGCTTTGAGGCTTTCTTGAAGACATTCCATGACCCAACTAGGGAACACCATCAGTGTCAGAAGGGAAGTTGCAGAGAGGAGGTGGAGGAGGAGGATTATGGGTGCTCTGTGCTTGGAGGTTTTCTCGCAGACATTACATGGCCCAACTAGGGAACATCACCTGTGCCAGAAGGGAGGAAAGGACAACTGTAGGTTTCTTGATGCTCTCTGAGCTTGGCTGTCTTCTTGCAGACGTTTCATCACCCAACTAGACAACACGATCAATGCGAGAAGGGAGGGAGGTTTACTCTGGTTTTACATACACGTTGTTTGCCCCATCAGTGTCGGTGGGCGTGTCCTTGGGTGTTTCCTAATTAGGCCGTTGCTTACTGCTTGAATTGTTTGAATTGTCACTTCCTTCACTGGAGCATTTTAACTTCTCTTTTTTTGAATGGTGTGTAGACGTTGTTTCTATCTATGTGCCTGTTGATGGCCAATTTGTTTGAATGCCAGGCTTCCAGGTACCCCCCTGGTGTTTTTGGGCTTGAGGTGATCAAGGAGCCACCGAGAAGAAAACAACACTCATGTTTCATGACCCAACTAGGGAACATCATCAGTGCTAGAAGGGAGTGGGGTTTGCGGAGAGGAGGAGAAGGAGAAACAGGAAACGAAGGAAAAAAGAACGAGGAGAAAGAAGAAGAGACAAGGAGAATGATGACTGATGACCAACACTGACAAACAAGCCACGTTTATATAAACAGAGCAAACCCCACTCCCTTCTAGTTCTGATGGTGTTACCTAGTTGGGTAGTGAAATGTCTGCAAAAGCTCGGGGAGCACCAAGGATCCCACAGTCCTCCTCCTCCTCTCCAAACCCTACTCACTCCCTTCTAGCACT